TGATGGAGATGATGGTGATGTTGATGGAAGTGATGGTGATAGTGGTGATGCTGATGGAGGTGGTGGTGATGGTGGTGGTGTTGATGGAGATGATGGTGATGCTGATGGAAGTAATGGTGATGGTGGTGGTGGTGATGGAGGTGATGGTGATAGTGCTGGTGGTACTAGTGGTGGTGATGGTGGTGATGTTGATGGAGGTGATGGTGATGGTGGTGGTGTTGATGGAGGTGATGGTGGTGGTGTTGATGGAGATGATAGCAGTAATGATGGTGAAGGTGACAATGATAGTGATAATAGGGGACCATGACAATGCTGATGCAGAGATGGTGCTAATGGAGGGAAATCCCTGCATTGGAGTCAGAGGATTTGGATTTGAGAGGTTGTCAGGTTTCCTCCTGCAGGCCTGGGAGCTATAACCTGTGAATAGATAGTTGTCTTTGTGTTCAGAAGCCCTGATGGTGCAGTAGTTAAGCACTCAGTTGCTAACAGAAGAATCATTTATTTCAACCCACCATTCACTCTGGGGAGAAAGATGTGGCTGTTTGCTTCCACAAAGATTACAACCCTGGAAAACCTGGGGTAATTCTATTCATAGTGTTGCTACTTGATGGTTATAGGTTTTATGGGTCTTTGTGTTTAGTCTGCCAGTATCTCTGTGGGTGTGTGTGCTTATGGATTGTAGGTGACCCCCGCCCCTCCTCCTCCCTCCTATTCCCCATATTATAAAAAAGAGAAACCCTAAGCATGGGGTTGCATGCCTGGAGCTTGGGCCTCCAGAGTGGTCTTCAGGAACCAGCAGTACTGACACATCAAAGCAGGACTCCTTTGATGTGTGGGCAGCAATTCCAGCAGGGTGGGGCAGCCACCTCCATCCAGATGGCTCCTTTGGGGCGAGGGGTGGAGCTGGGCCTAGGCAGAGCCTAGACAGGGTGTCTCCATGGGGCAGGTCTGTACCAATGTGTGAACTGGCTGTGGCTCTGGGCTTCTGGTCTGTGTATCTGCATGTGTGTGGGTATGACCAACAAGAGTTGGCATTTTCTGAGGCTTCCCCTGTGCCAGGCATTTTTACGTGCATCATTTCGTGTAATCAATTATTGTACAATCCTATGGGGATAGTGCTATTGTTCCCATATTACAGTGGTGGGAATTGAGGCTCAGAGAAGGTAAGTTAGTAGCTTAAGGTCACACAGCTTTTAGGTGGAGGAGGAATGGGATTTGAACCCAGGCTAGTCCTCCTATGGGACTGGGGAGTGAAAGAAGGGATGGGTATGTGTTTTGGACCTTTCTCTTTCAACAGAATCAGGCTCTCCTATTCTGCTCAGCTGGGTGGAAACTAGGGTGATATCGGTGAGGAAGGAGATTGCTCTCTTCAGCCCTCAGGATGGAGCTGGAGCAACTGGAGCCCCCAGAATACTAGTGCCTAGAGGACTCTGATAAGAGGTTCCCTTGAGGACACCCAGAGGTAGAAAGCAGGATGAAGGTGATGTAGCCAAGGCAGTGTCTGCCCTGGACATTTACGGCACATCATTGTATCAAAGGGTCTGAGCTGCCTTCGACCATCAGCTCCCCTGCCCCTCTCCCCACTCTGTTTCCATGGCCAGTCCTTCTTCAGACCAAGGTGTGGTAGATGTGGGGGGTGGGGCAGGAAAGGGACTCCAGGGGGCTACCTGGAATCTCTGGAATCTATTTGTGGATGATGTGCCCTTTTAGTAGTCCCTAACTTGGCAGAAGTCCCCTGGTGTGTTGCTATAGGATAAGCACAGGATTGTTAACCACAAGGTCAGTGGTTCAAACCTACCCACTGTTCCTCAAAAACCCTATACAGAGTTGTAGTGAATCAGTACTGACTCATAGACACTTAACAACAAAGTTGGCTGCAAGGCACCTGCTCTAACCACACATGCACGCTCTGGAAATTCTAACTTCAAGATTATTTACAAATACTAAAAATAAAATAAAATAAAAATTTTTGGTTGGATTCTAAATTCACTATTCTCATTATTACAAGGATTCTGTCTTGTATCACTTGTCCCTGAAGGTAAAGGAGGCATGCTAGAGTCGTCAAATATCACCTAAACTGTTGTAAGTTCTTTCATGGCTGTAAAATGAGTTTAAAATGTATCACCTACTTGGGTGGGTGCTTCAAACATTTGAAGAGATCATCATTAAAAAGCCTAGAGTTGATATTGCATGTGGTCATTTGATTCATAAAGTCTAATATGAAAAAGTTGTATTCCCGGAAACAAACTCAAGTTTCCTATGTTGAAAAATTGAGGCAATGCTTTGGAATGTTTTATGAATCTCCTGGGACTGCCGTAACAAATTAGCACAAAGTGGGTGGCTCAAAACAGCAGACAATGGATCTCTTACTGTCCTGGAGACTAGAAGTCCACATTCAAGGCATCTGCAGAGCCATGTTCTCTCTCTCCAGAGGCTCTGGGGGAAGATCGTTCCTCATCTCTGTGGCTTCTGTGGTCTCCAGTATTCTTCAGTCTGTGGCAGCATAGCTCCAATCTTCACCTGGGTTGTACATGATGTTCGTTTCTCTGTGTCTGTCTCTGTGTCTCTTTTGTTTGTATAAGGACACAAGTCATATTGAAAGGGCCCAGAGATGGACTGGCCAAGTGGCAGCATTGATGAACTCAAGCGTGGCAACAGTAGTGAGGTTGGCCCAAGATTGGGCAGTGTTATGTTCTGCTGTGCATAAGGTCGCTATGCGTCGATACCAACTCAATGGCACCTAACAACAACAACCGCCTATTCTTTATGGCCTCTTGTTAACAAATTACATCTGTGGGGTGCCAGGGGTGCGGGCAGGTAGGATTTCAACATATTTTTTGGGGGGACACGATTCAATTCATAATAGTCTATATATAATATCTTTATTAATACTTTGCCCCCCCCCCTTTTTTTTTTTACTATCACAAGTATATGAGACAAAATGCAATCTTTTTTTCCACCCCACCCTGTATTCCACTGCCTTCAGGTGGATTCTGACTCACAGTGACTGTATGTAGTTGTTGTTGTTAAGTGCTGTCGTGTCAGTTCTGACCCACAGTGACTCTGTATAGGGTTTCCAAGAAGCGGCTGGTGAGCTTGAACGGCCAACCTTGTGGTTCAAACCAATTTTGCAGTCCAATGCATTAACCCACAGCACCACACCAGGACTGTGTAGGGCAGAGTAGGACTGCTCCATAGGGTTTCCAAGACTGTGAATCTTTACAGAAGAAGATTGCCTCAACTTTCATGGAGTAGATGGCAGGTTTGAACCTCCAAATTTGCACTTAGCAGCCAATGCTTAACTCACTGTGCCACCAGGACTGTTTAGGCTCCATCTTGTTGGTAAATACCGTCAACTTAGTTCCAACTTATGGCGGCCCTGCATAGGGTTTCCGAGGAGCAGCTGATGGGTTTGAATTGCCGACTTTGAGGATAGCAGTCCAGTGCTGATCCTACAGCACCACACCAGGAGTCCACATAGATGTCTTCAACCCCTGCAGTTTGCCTAAGTGTCATGTGCCAATGTTAGCATTGTCCCTAGGCACCATGATCAGCTTAGGGTGAATGTTAAGAATCTCTGTCTCTGAAAGATGCAGGGCTAGGGACGGATGACCAGTGGTGGGCTATGGACGGGGAAGAAGATGGGAGAGGGATCTGGCCTCTTGAGTCCAAGCTGGGCCTGGAGACACCGCTGTCAGTGACCACAGAAGGCACACAGTTGCATGGGGAGACATCTCAGTCTCTGCG